ACAGGTTTTGGATACACGAACACTGCAAAGGGTAACAAGACCGAGAGAGGTGATGATTACTCCACGTTGGGTTTTCTGGGGTTATAAAGGGGACTCCCCAGTTTAGCATCTCTTTCGTATCCCATACTTTTTGAAGAGCTCTACCTTGTTGTCCTTCGGTCTCTTTTCATATACCCTTGGTTTACATTGACGTCATCATGTCTTCTGGTAAGTCAGATACTCTTTCGCCTCGGTCAACTAAGTTATACTGATTACTGACTACGTTGGCGATTCACAGCTCAACAGCGTCTTTCTCAGGTCTCCTCCCACTTCACATCGGGAGGCAAGAAGGGTGTCGCCGCCATCACCGAGAAGCATCCCGATGATATCGTTGTCACATGTGCCCTGCGTACTGCCCTGACCAAGGGTGGAAAGGGTGGCTTCAAGGATACCGCTGCCGCTGATCTATTGGCCGGTGTCTTCAAGGGCGTCATCGACCGCAGTGGCATCGACCCCAAGGTGGTGGAAGATGTTGCTGTTGGCTCTGTCCTTGCCCCTGGTGGCGGTGCCACCGAGTTCCGTGCAGCTGCTCTTGTTGCCGGGTTCCCCGAGTCGACTGCTGTCAAGAGCTTGAACAGACAGTGCTCCAGTGGTCTTCAAGCCATCGTGGATATTGCCAACGCGATCAAGTCCGGTATGATCGAGGTTGGTATTGGGGCAGGTGTGGAGAGCATGTCCTCTCAGTACGGGTAAGTCGAACCGTTCTTTTGCAATACCGCAAAAAAGCCCAAATGCTGACAAATTTTCGTCCCGTAGACCTGGCGCCGTTACCGAGTTCTCTGAGCTCCTCGAGAGCCACCCCGAGTCTGCCAACTGCAAGGTCCCCATGGGTGTCTTGTCGGAACAGATGGCTAAGGACCGTAACGTCTCTCGCGCCGTCCAAGATGCTTTCGCTGCCTCTTCATACCAGAAGGCCGTCAAGGCTCAGAAGGCCGGTCTCTTCAACGAGGAGATTGTCCCTCTCCAGGTCAAGTGGACTGATCCCAAGACCGGCGAGGAGAAGACCATTACCGTCAAGGCCGACGATGGCATCCGTGACGGCATCACCGCCGAGTCGCTCGGCAAGATCCGTCCTGCTTTCGCCAAGGATGGTTCCATCCACGCGGGTAACGCCTCTCAGATCTCTGACGGGGCTGCCGCCGTGCTGCTGATGAAGCGTTCCACCGCTCAGCGTCTCGGCCAGAAGATCATCGGCAAGTATGTTGCCGCCAGCGTTGTCGGTGTCAAGCCCCTGCTCATGGGTATCGGCCCCTGGAAGGCCATCCCCGTCGCCCTTGAAAAGGCCGGCATCACCAAGGACGAGGTCGACATCTACGAGATCAACGAGGCCTTCGCTTCTCAGTGTGTGTGGTGTGTCAACGAGCTTGGCCTGCCCCAAGAGAAGATCAATCCCAAGGGAGGTGCCATCGCCTTTGGCCACCCTCTTGGCTGCACCGGTGCTAGACAGATCAGCACCCTTCTGACAGAGCTGAAGCGCACCAACAAGAAGGTTGGTGTCACCAGCATGTGTGTTGGTACGGGTATGGGTATGGCCGCCGTCTGGGTCGCCGAGTAAACAAAAGAAGGAATGAGCTGGTTTCATTGCTTTTCTTCTCTGCATTTCTTTGTATAGCGATGACATATATATATCATGTTACCACCTTCTTGATTGTATTGAATACTTGTTCGAATACCAATGACATGATGGTTCTTCCATTTATTGATCGCTCGTCCTATATATAACCCCTGTAGATACCTCCCTTGGAATTTCTCAAGGCTTGGTACGGAACTGCTTGAACGCATGAGAGACATTCATCCCCTGAGACACGGCGTCTTTGACCTTGTCATCCATGGCTACTAATTTCGGCATGAGTTCCAGCACCTGATCCAGGAGCTCTTGAGGAATAGCAACCACGCCTTCCAAAGGATCACAGAAAATAATATCGCCCTGCAAGCAATGTCAGCATCACCATCCACACTCTCTTCCTCCAGAAAATCATACCGGGGAAACAGTCACACCCCCCACATCAACCGGCACATCCCTCGCACCTGGCTTCGCCTCGGCCCCCGATCCAACCGTCGACGTCCCCTTCGCCCAAACCTACATCAATCAGTCCCGACACCCGCAATCCAGAATTGGGAATAACAAACCGGCAGCTTGCACTCATTAATCTCCGCCAGATCCCGCACGCGCCCGTTCACCAGGAGCCCCCGCACACCGAGGACTTTCATCCGCACGGCCATGATCCCGCCGAGGACGGCGCAGTGCTGGTCCGCGGGCTGCTCGAGCACGGCGATGGTGCCTGGCTTGGCGAAGTCGACCCAGTGCGTGCCTGCTGGGAAGCCATGGGAGTCCTCAGGTTCCGCACTTGGTGGGACGCGGTCGTCCTTGGAGATGAACTTGAAGGTTGACGCTGGGGCGATGATTTTGGGTTGTGTTGCGTTGCGGCCTATGGTGGGGGAGAAGGGGGCTGGGTTGTCTGTTAGTGGGTTGCTTTGCTTACCGAGGAGAGTGCTTGTGAGATGGGAATTGATGCTAGAGCGAGGGGTTTCCTTACTGAAGTCGGCCAGGTGCCCTGCTCGGGCGGCTGTTCCTGCCGGGAGTTTCTGTTGTTTGAGGAGAGCATCGGATACCTGGATTTTGGTTTTGTTAGCGGAATCTTCCTACAGATCTAGAGCGATGATGGTATTTTGGATCATACATCGCATGCAGAGTATTTCTGCAGTTCTTTCAGTTTCTGTTCGATCGAGCTGGACATGGTGCGTCTTTGGACCTGGGAGGATGGGACGTGGAATGGGTTGAAGATCAACCGTGGTCGACAAGTAGGATGAGAAGCGAGAATTTCAAAGGTAACACGGTTCCGCGACACGAAGTTCATAACGAAGTCGGCCAGATACGTTTCCCCAAACTGCTGAGTGAGATCGTGTTGCGATGAAGATGGAGATCCGAGACTGGGGTCAATGTAGGTGCGACGTCCGTTTGTCCGTTGCTCGGAACAGTCTTCTGGGTGATGACGTCTCTATTTGAGCTGCATTAGTTTATACAATATTGCTATGTGCTCTGATTTTTGGAATAACAATTGTGTGTAATCGTTCTAGCAGAGACTAGTTACATCAAGCATTCATAGTCAGATGTTTCAGATTCCTCCATACTGACAGCCGAGGATCTGATAAACCAACATTATCATCTTCTAGAAATCGAGATACATCCGTCCACAGGATCCATGATATCATCCAAGACCACCTTAGAGAACATGTTTGGGTCCGAATACCGAGTGCCCTATCCACGGACAGAGCTGTATGTTCATTCGATACCAACCTCAATGGTCCTTTTGAATATATTCATGAACCATCTCATCATTCTGCAGCGGGGTTAAACGCGGGGAAGCAGAACTATAGAGGCACCGTCAACGCAATTGTCATACAGGCGTCGGATTTTCCTAAAACGATCAAGGTGAATAGTGCTTGAACCATACTAACCAATTATCCTGAACAAACACTACTCGTCTCTTGTCAACAGATATCTTCTTCCGACCACATCGGCTCGCCTCTAATCGGCGACCGAGGGGTGGACCTTGGCGGCTTCACCCGCCAAATCTGGATCTGGGCATCTGACAAATAATCGCTTGGTAATGACCGACTCTGAATACGAGACCATCTTGGCTTTGAATATATGTAAATAAGATAGCCTTTTCCTTCCTCAAGGCCCCATAGATCATCGCTCCCATCATGGCATCGCCACCGTCTACATATACTCCTGATCAGATAGAGACCTATCTGCAGCGCATCGGGTACGCCGACTCCGCCAGTACATCTGGAACCACCAGGCAACAACATCTCCAGCGATGCATCGAGAAAGATCCGCTGGCCGCATTGACCGAGTTGCAGAGGCGGCATCTGGGCGCCATCCCCTGGGGAAATTCCAGTCTGCATTACTCCCAGCTCCGGGCGATCTCCATCCATCCAACGAGTGTATTTGAGAAGTTGGTCAACCGTAAACTAGACGGGTACTGCATGGAGAACACCAACCTGCTTTATGTCGTCCTACGGTCATTGGGATACCAGGTCTATCCCACGGGAGGCCGAGTGAGTCGCGCGGCAGCGGCTGGGAACAATACGGCGGTCGGATACCTGGCGCTGTATGTACCTTGATCTCCTAGAATCTATAGAGTCGCATTTGCTGACGCAAGGCGCAGTGGACATATGGTTCTGATCGTGACCATTCATGGCCAGAAGTACATGGTAAGGTGTTTCCCGCTGAGAATCTTATCGCGGGCAGCTACTGATTGGGGTCGCAAAAGGTCGACGTTGGGTTCGGCAGCAATGGCCCTACCAGTCCGCTGCCAATGAAGGAAAACGAGGTTGCGGTCTGTATTGCACCTAGCGAGATGCGCCTGATCAAGGACAGCATCCCCGACTTCGTCGACAAGAGCCAGAAGCTCTGGATCTACCAGGTCAGGTATAGCCCGGAAAGGGAATGGATCCCGATGTACTCCTTCTCGGAAGTTGAATTCCTGCCACAGGATTTTGCAGTGATGAACTTTGCGACAAGCCAGCAGCCGACCAGCTGGTTTACCCAGGCTTTTGTCTGCACCAAGATGATTATGAGTGAGGACGGACTCGAACCCCAAGGTATATATGTGATGATAGGAAAAGAAGTCAAGAAAAGGCTGGGTAAGGAGACAGAAGTGGTGGCCACACTCGCAAACGAAAATGATCGGAGACAAGCGCTGGCGAAGTATTTCGATATGCACTTCCAGGACTATGACGTTGAAGGAATACAGGGCTTGAGCTCCCAGATCAAATAGAATTCTTTTGACAATTGAAAACTAGCTTTGCAGCGTTTCTTTCGCTTGCCCAGTGATATTGTACAAACGATGTTGCTCTAGGACCGTAGCGTGGATATTGATTTAGAAGATGCAAGCGAACACAAGCTAAAACAAATGGTGTAAAGACATGACGCGGAGACACGTTGCCGTGACTTAGAAAATCCGTTTCTCAAGCTGTAAAGAAGTGAGCACCTCGCATTCAACCACAAATAAACGCATCGAGCCGACGATATGACATACCTTCCATGGGTTGCTGACATCGAATCCCTTTGGCGCTACGGCATTGCCTGACTGGCCTCGTAAAGTTCCTGTGATTCTCAAGTCTCTTTCCATCACTATGGCAGATAATATATCGTCAGTTTCCGGAGCCTCGACTGGGCAAACAAGGAGAAATATTGCAAGTATTGCAAGCGGTAGGTTACGCACTTTGCTAGATGGATATTAGCCTTGGTCACTCGGTCGCAAGCCACAGGTGAAGAAGCACTTACTCTGTCCCACAGATCCTTGTTCCACCGCGCCTTTTTCCCTTCGTTTCCAAAGTACTTAGCAGCAGTGAGGCCGGCACCGGTCACGCCGAACATCTGTCACCATCCATCATCAGTAACTCGTGCTGGCATGCTCGGGGTTGCGGATACACACAGCGATGATGATCCCATAGGGGATGAGGGCTTCGAAAGGGACACCCATTTTGTGGAATACGAATCCTCAATTCGTTGCAAGATCAGAAGAAGCCTCGAAGAGATTGAGCCAGGTGTCAACGGACAGATTCAATTGCGAAAACGCAGGCCAGAATGAACCCCGGCGTCGTTTCTTGTGCCCGCTTGATTCCGCCAACGTCGAGGTCTGGCGGACTTCCTGATACGGTTTAGCCCGCCCGGGGTTAATCTGGGTGAGTCAGCAACTCCGTGAACCTCACTGCAAGAGAAGGGGCGTGAAGCGGCGGCAGATTGCTTTGGAAGCTGAATAACTCCACAAACGGCCTTTCCGCTGCGAATATACGCGTTGGTCATTGCTCTACTCTCGCATATCTACTAGCGCCTCTAATATCACGGTTCCAGTTCCTTCATTACACGCGTTGTTTGCTTGTTGTCTTGGCCGCCTCCTTCCAGCGCCTCCAACTTGGCACCCTCCGCGCTTGTCTTGCTCGCGCATTCGTCTCTGACGCTTGACTACGACGTATGCTACGATCTAACCGATTGGCCCTTTGAATTGTTGGGATACTGCCTTTAAATCAGCTCGCCGTTTTGTTCCCCATGTCCCGTTTATGCGCGGCCAGATGATTGTTCGCCCTAGCGGGAAGCTTCTATAGCCTCAACTTCTCATTCAAACATCGCGAAACCTTGGTAGATCCGTGAAACACAATCGCTCAAACTGGCGACTACGGCGACCTACACCATGCCGGCGACCGTGCTGCCGGCCATCGACGATCCAGATACTAGACCTCCAGCAGATATGGTGGACAGTGATCAGGATGCAGAAGGGGAAGAGGAGACCGACCTCTATGAGATGGACCAGCAGCTACAGAATGCAGTTCATCGGGCATACTCTGGGGAGAACGCCGACGGTGATCAGGATGCCGACTACGACGAAGACGAAGATGCAGAGGGGGAGCCGGATACCGAGCTGAACATCAACGGGGATAATGATGATGCAGAACCGGTTGGTGCCGTCAAGATGCCCGACGCAGCTGGCTCTCTTGACAACGGTGATGCTGCTTCTGCGGCTGCCGATGCAGAAGATGATCCGGCGTTTGAGAATCCAAGTGACAGCGATGCGCCCGCTGCCTCTCCTAGCAGCTCAGAATCGGAGGCCGATGAGGAGTGGGAGGCTGAGAGCAATAGCCGGGAGGATGCAGAGGTGGACACCACTGTCCGCGGCAATTGCATGTGAGTTCATTATTCTTCCCATGTCCACTCTCTAGTGATCTGGTCTGATGCGCAGACGGGAAATGTAGCTTTTGTGGTCAAGACGAGGATAATGATCCTAGCGAAGAATTTGAAGAGTATTTAACATGCGCCGTCTGTGGTGACCATTGTACGTTGCACCTTCTGAGCCTGTCTTTGAAGAATCGTCGCTGATGTGACTCTATAGCTCATCGACAATGTGCGCGCGAGGAAAATGCACTTGATGAGACACAAGGTATGCTTAAAATGATTAGCCTCCTCTACCTGGTTTCGTCGCGCTTTGCCCCGAGACTGACATTGTACAGACGCAGGTCTATGGAGATGCCCTACTTGCGTCCGGGAGAAATTGCAGCCAAGTACTGAGCAGAATGGTACAACCCCGCGACAACCTCGTCAAAAGAAGATGCGCAGAGAACTCTTACCGGCACACACTGGAGAGAAAGATTCTGGTTTCCACTCAATTTTCAGCACCGTGGACGTCAGTGATGAGCTCTTGACCAGCTCCAGATCATTGCGGAAAAGGAAAGCCTCGTCGACCGACGTGGCAGAACCCACGCCTGGACTTCGGAAATTGCGACGGCAATCATCGATGCGATCCGCTCGGGCTGAGTCCGGAGACCAGGGGTTTGGAAATACAGACGGTCAGTCCCCGGTGCGTACCCGTTCCCGGCGAACACGCGGCGAGGAAAAGGATACCTGCCGCGTGGTTCTGAGGCAATTTGGGAGACTGGTTCTCGCTTTTCGACTCAATGAAAATAAAGTGTCCAAGATCCTCGACTCTCGGAGCCGGTCACAACTCAGAGGCAGAAGAACGCCTAAGCCGCCACCAGCGGTACAAGAACCTTTGTCCCATTTTGCTCCCATTACACCTGCACCCTACATCTCTCCCTTCTACTCATTCAACGACCGCGAAACAGACGAATCAAAGTCAAAGCCATACGGCGGCATTCTGTCGGAAGCGGATGCGGACACCTCAAGGACCCTTCCAACACACGCAGATCGCGAAAGGTTCGAGATCGCGCGACAAAAGGCTGAAGAGGAATGGCAAAGGAAGCTTTTGGAAGCTGAAAACAGCGGAGAAGCTGTCCCGCACGCTTCCCAGAAGCTTTCGGGCCCTCCGTCCAGGATTAAATACATTAACTTTGGAGGGTACGAGATTGAGACCTGGTATGCAGCTCCTTATCCCGAAGAATATAGTCGGAACCGGGTGCTCTACATATGCGAGTTTTGCTTGAAATACATGAATTCAGACTATGTTGCCTGGCGGCACAAGCTGAAATGCCCGGCAAAACATCCGCCGGGAGATGAAATCTACCGTGATGGTTCCATCTCAATATTCGAGGTCGACGGACGAAAGAATCCAGTCTATTGCCAGAATCTTTGCTTGCTCGCTAAATTGTTCTTGGGATCCAAAACGCTCTACTACGATGTGGAGCCGTTCTTGTTCTATGTCATGACTGAATTCGACGATCTAGGCTGCCACTTTGTCGGCTATTTCAGCAAGGAGAAACGGCCCAGTTCGGCAAACAACGTTTCGTGCATCCTCACACTGCCCATTCACCAAAGGAAAGGCTACGGAAATTTGCTTATCGACTTCTCATACCTGCTCACCCGTATTGAAGGTAAGACCGGCTCGCCAGAGAAACCTCTTTCCGACATGGGCCTGGTTTCCTATCGCAACTACTGGCGATTGATATTGTCGTATCAATTACGAAACCAAAGGACTCCTATCAGCATCGCGGAGCTCTCAGAGCGAACAGGCATGACGGCCGATGATGTGGTCTCTGGTTTGGAAGGGTTACGCGCCCTTGTCAGGGATCCAATCACCAAAACCTACGCTTTGCGACTCGACTGCAAGTATTTTGAAGAGTGTATTCGGAACTGGGAGGAGAAAGGCTACGTTCAGCTGAACCCTGATGCTTTGGTCTGGACACCATACATCATGGGTCGTAGCAATCAGTCACAATTTGACCGGGCTCCATTGCACACCGTTGCACAGAGGGAAGACCCGGAGGAGGAGGAAGGCGAAGAAGTCAAGAAGGCCGATGGTGCGGTGATTCCAACGGCCAGCTGGACGGGACACGCCGGTTCCGGGGGTCGTTCGACTGTGGCCGCCGGGCCCCCTTCAACCCAAGCGCTCTCTAACACCAGCGGTTTCCATCACCAAACAGCTGCTACAGCGAGTTCGAGTACCTCTGCTCAGTCTGACCCCGCCGCGGGTATTCCTCCTTCCCGGTTCGAGATTTATCCTCCTGTTCAAGCTCCTGTATTCAAACGAAAGCCGGGACGACCCTTTGGCAGTAAGAGCGTGTTCAAGGCGGGCGGGACCCCTACGAGTGCCCGAACGAGTGGTCGCGGTACTCCCCGCAGAACCTCAATGTTGGCTTCGGCGGCGACGCCTACTTCGAATTCAGGTAGTGTTCGGCGAGGTCGGAGCGCCAAGCTGATGGACTCCCCTGCTCCAGAGCCGTCCGGCGCGAAGACTAATGGACTTGTAAATGGCGAGCAGCATTTGCAGGATGGATTCGAAGAAGTGCAAGACACAGAACCTCAGGATGGTGCACCGTCCGAGCCAGAAGCAGGCACCCCTAATCACACTCTCAATGGGACACGTAGTTCGGGCGCGGTTGTAGCCAAGGCAAATGCCGATGTCTCTCTTTCCGACGGCCCGATTACACCCAAGGGAAGGGGAGCCGAGAACAGAGGGAAACTGTCGCGGTCAGCGAGCCGAAAATCGGTCGTGGAGATGCTCCCAGACGATGACGCGCCTCAGGAAAACAACATTGCTGATGCGGACGCCGATGGCGACGCAGTCATGCAAACATGAAGATGCTTGAAAACCGGATAGTAAACGGGAAAGCAAAACACAAGCGGTAAGAACATTCGGTCTCCGAAGGCGCTTGACGACGCATTTGCATTTGGGCGTTATTTGAATTCATGCAGGAGGGTTCCTCGCTTCAATTACTTGTTTTTCTCTTATTCTTTTCAAGTATCGTTCTCATCAAGCAAGGAGTAGGCTGTGCATTTGGCGTTTCGGTCATCACTTCGTTCGAATTCATTCACAGCACTGTTTTGGCACGTCATGCGCTGACTCTTGCCCTATCTAATTCGGCTGTCGCCTTTTTTTTTTTTTTTCTCGTTGCTGCATGGCTGTTTTCTCTCCTGGCGTCTGTATGTCATGATCTGAGGAGATTCTGTCCTAGGGGACGTGGTCATAGGTTCGGTTCTCTATGATGGCAGCTTTGGGTGGTTCTCTGATCCCATCTGCATTTGTGTAGCATATACCAACGAAGCCAATCTTACATTGTCCAGCGCATACGATCGTGGTAACCAAGGAGGGCATGCATTTCACCACAGGCGTTTAAGTAAGGTGCTCATATCTTCGAGATCGAGGATCTAGATATAATTGGCACCTCGCTTCGTCACTATGCACCTACTTATTTATTACCCGAGAGACCTGGAGGTAAGCGTGATGCCCTAAAATCAAGGCAGTGCAGTACACTGCTCTCGCTGTGCGGCGTTGGGCACTGTGGAAGACAGTGTTGTACAGCAGGTAAGGGAGGCATTTGATGCATTAAATCTATCCGATCTATCCGCTCATTCAATAGCATAGACCTAAGACCGACTGTTGGTACCTTTTTCCAAAAATTTTGTTTAAGCCATACAGAGACGAACAATAATGGTCGAGCCAGGCCTAAGCATTGTGGACGACTCCGTCTTGGTTTAGCTGCAGATCAAAACCCTCATGCGGAGTGGGAATACGGATACCGTTGCCCAAGAACC